GAAAATATATTAATTAAAAAACACATTTTTTCCCTCCACTGGTACTGGCTGCAGATTGAAAACAACCAATTTGGCCTGCAACAGAGTCCCTCCCAAGAGGCCCCAGAACCAACATACCCAGTGGCAGCTTCAGACACAACAACTTATATCTCAATTTGGGATATAAACAGCAAAGTCAAGTCTTATGTTTGCTAAAGTTCCTTTTGGAGAAAATTGAGGGAAAAAATTATAGTCTTTCTTTATTATCTGGCCACAAAGCTTTATATACACCAGATATGTTTGTAGTGAATATTGTCACAAACATGTGATCAGTGTCATGCAGTTTACATTCTAGGTAATATACAAGGTCAATCCATCAGTGATATAGAATGTTGAACAGTGATAATTGCTAAGGAGAAAAAACAAGGCAGGAATTAGGAGATATATATGTATAAGTGTGTGTATGTGTGTGTGTGTGTGTGAGTGTGTGTAACGGTATTTAAAATTTTAGGTTCAAAGAAGGCCCTCATTATCCCAAGCACATATAGAGAAGATATGATATGCCACTGCTTATTATAAGCACAAGACATTATTGCCAAACTGATTGTTCTTTTTAATGTGTGCCCAAAAAATTCTTATTTAGCTAAAAATCAAACTTCTAAAAAGCTTAAATGAGAAGAATGAGCTCCATTTAATGGGGAAAATTATATTATACTGGAGGCCTCATGCACAAAATTTGTGCACGGGTAGGGTCCCTAGATCTGGCTGGCGATCAGGGCTGATTGAGGCCTTCCAGCTGCTGGCCGGGGCCTCCCTTCCCTGGCTGCTGGCTGCCAACCAGCGTCTCCCTTCCCCAGCTGGCAGCTAGGGCCTTCCTCCATTCCACACCATCCCCTGGTGGTCTACGCACATCATAGCAAGCATAGGTCAAACTCCCAAGGGGATAATTTGCACACTATATATATAACCAAGAACTAAGAGGTCTTGGTTATATATATATATATATATATATATATATATATATATATATATATATATATATATATAGTGTGTGTATATATGTGTGTGTGTATGTATATATATATATATATATATATATATATATATAAATAATGTTTTAGAGCAGCAGCTTTGTTAACTTTATTTTCAGGAGAGGTAGTTATAAGAAAGGAATTTAATGATTTACTCTATATACATGTGTGTGTATATACATGTATATATATTCCTCAAATTTTATTTTTGACAACATAGTGTAGTTTTGAAAGTACATTGAGTTTCCAAATGTCAATCCAGTTGGGCAGAATGTTCATATTCTTCAACATGATGCCAATTTCTTGAACATTGAGTCCATTAATTTTGCAAAAAAACAGCTAATCAGAAATATGACAGTCCTGCCTGGCTGATGTGGCTCAGTTTGTTGGAATGTTGTCCCGTATACCAAAAGGTGGTGAGTTTGATTCCTGGTCCAGGCAAAAACTCATGTTGCAGGTTCCATCCCCAGCCAGGCATGTGAGGGAGGCAACTGATTGATGTTTCTCTCTCACATCTATCTTTCTCTTTCTCTCTCTAAAATCAATTAAAAAATAAATTAAGAAGAAATATGACAGTTCTGCATTATCAGGGTTATACCATTCACATTGCTCTGGCTGGCTGTCTGTTGGAAATCTCAAGGACAGACCCTGTTGTCCATCATGACAAGAGATTAATGAAGACACCAATGCACCTCTCCCAGTCTCAGCCACTCCTTAACAACGCTTTTGGTGTTTAAAGAATTGCATTCTTTCTTGCAGGATGACCTGGGGATCATTTAGTGCATCTAAGACTGTAATGATCCCTTGTTATTCACAGGAAGTTGATCCACTGAGTGCCTCACTTCCTATCATCCTAGCAGCAATTTGGACATGGGAAGTTCAGTGTAATTTCTGTGGTACATTTCCTCCAGTGGCTTTTTAGAGAAAGTGGACAACGCAGTGTTCAACATTCAACATGCCCATTTTCTACTGAAGAGTTATCGCCTAGTCTCTTCACAGTATAACCGTAGAGGCACTATGCTAATTTGTGGCTTATCGTTGCTGAAAATGTGACCACAGCAGTAAAACAAAGCAACAGGAGCCCAGATAATGTGGCTGGCCTGGGTTCAAACTCTGCATCACCTATTTATTGTGGGACTCAGGGCAAGTTTTTTTTTTTTTTTTTTTTTTTTTTTTTTTTTTTTTATATGTAAACCTCTATTATGTCTCCATTTCCTCATCTGTAAAATTAAGATAATAATAGAGTAAGCATGATAAGATTGATGTAAGGAAAATATATTGTAATGGAATCACCAAAGGAGAGGACAGAAAAGCAAAGAAGTATTTGAAGACAATTGCTGAAATGTTTACAAATTAGATGGAAACTATAAACCTACAGATACAAAATGTTCAAACAACTTTAAGGCAAAAAACATGGAGAACACTACATCAAGACACCGTAAAACAAAACAAATAAAAAAACAACTAACATGCCAAAAACTACATCATTGGTTGTGTACTGAGAATGATTCCTCCTACACCCCCCCCCCCCCCCCCCCCCGCCCGCCCAGGGTACATTTGGCAAATCCTGAAGACACATTTGGTTGCCTCATCTGAGAGAAGGGAGAGGGTATGCTACTGGCATCTACTGCACAGAGGCCAGGAATGTTGCTAAACATGCTACAATGCACATGACAGCTCTCACAAGAATGAATTGCCCTGCCCAAACATTAGTAGTACTAACACTGAGAAACACTAAAGGCAAATAATAATTAAAATGCTTAAAACCAGTGATAAAAAGAAAGTCTTAAAATCATATCCTTATTATATTTTCTAATTCCTGACAAAAACAGAAAGTATTTGACATCATAATACTAAGCACTTTTATAAACCACTATGTTTATAAAACATGTTTAAGATAGGACCCAAGAACCAAAAAGTAAGGCTTCAGGAACTCACGGGCCAATGTGACTTTTTTTTTTTTTTAAAACCTGCTTTTAAATGGTTCATTTAAGGGAGCTATAATACACACCAGATTTTCTAAAGGTTCTGCTTTATAATCCTTCTGTATAAGTTAAAATCTCATTTCAGTTCAACAAACATTTACAAGGACTACTTCCACAGTACATATCATACAGCAATGCAATTTTCCAAGTTAGTTGCTTCATTTAATGTACTCTTTCTGCCATATCATGTCTATTTAATTTTAATTCTATTTTAAGTCACAAAAATGATTTAAAAATCCTTACCAATTCTGCTAGATTTTGTTGTTGTTGTTGTTGTTTTTTTTTTAAAAAAAAACCCTCAACTGAGGATATGCTTTTAATGACTTAAGAGGGAGAAGAAGAGGGAGAGGGAGAGAGAAACATTAACTTGGGAATAAAACATCCATCTGTTACCACCTGTAGTACCCAGATCAGGGTTCAGACCAGGGATTGAACCCACAATCTGGTTATGTGCCCTGAAAGGAATTGAACCCATAACCTTTTGGTGTATGGGATTATTTTTTATTTTTAAAAAAATATATTTGATTTTTTTTTTTTTTACAGAGAGGAAGGGAGAGAGATAGAGAGCCAGAAACGTCGATGAGAGAGAAACATCGACCAGCTGCCTCCTACCGGGGATGTGCCCACAACCAATGTACATGCCCTTGACCGGAATCGAACCTGGGACCCTTCAGTCCACAGACTGATGCTCTACCACTGAGTCAAACCGGTTTTGGCATGTATGGGATTATTTCTGTTTGATATGTCCCAGATGGGAAAAAAACTGGGAATCCCCTCTTTTTAACATGCAAATCAGATCTCTTTGGTTCAATTTAGGTTTGTTTGTTTGTTTGTTTCAACACTGGGTTAATATGAACATTGGGAAGTAATTTCAATTTTAGGTAGATTTTATTAGAGTGTACGCAAAGAGCTAGAAACATACATTTTGTTTAGTTTTCCTTAATAGTTAAAAAAAATCACACTAAAGGGAAGTAAAATTAAGAAATACATAGAGTCTGGCCAATATGATTCAGTGGTTAAACGCCAACCCAGGAGGTCATGGCTCGATTCCCCATTAGAGCACATGTGCAGGTTGCAGTCTCTATCCTCAGTGAGGGGGTGTGCAGGAGGCAGCAGGATGATAATTCTCTCTCATCATTGAGGTTTCTATCTCCCTCTCCCTTCCTCTTTCTGAAATAACTCACATATATATATGTGTGTGTGTGTGTGTGTGTGTAAATATATATCATAGAGCATACTGATCAACAAAATTGTTTAGCTTAAAAAAAATCAGAAATTCATCAATGCTCTAAATGAGTCAAACGAGTTTTGTGTCTTAAATAGTAATCCTCCAAGATTAAAAAAGAATATTAAATACAATTAGAACAACTGAACCAATTTTCTTTTTTAGTGGGAGAAATAATAGATCAATATGTGTTTTATTGGAGAAGTTGAAACATTAACAAAGGTTATATAGGAGCAGGCAAGAGAATACAGAGCTTCAAACAGTTAAAGGTAGCTATAATTTCATAATTCCATTTTTATTATTTTATTTTTATTTATTTTTAAATATATTTTATTGATTTTTTACAGAGAGGAAGGGAGAGGAACAGAGAGTTAGAAACAATGATGAGAGAGAAGCATCGATCAGCTGCCTCCTGCACATACTAGGGATGTGCCCGCAACCAAGACACATGCCTCTGACTGGAATTGAACCTGGGATCTTTCAGTCCGCAGGCCAATGCTCTATCTATGAGCCAAACCAGTTAGGGCTAATTGCCTCTTTTTAAAACTTTACCGGAACTTTAATTTTTTTTTCTTCTTCTGGTTGAAGAAGATTCTATATACAAGTTACAGAGAATTCCAGGTAAGTGAAATTTCATATAACATAATTAATTAACTTTATGAACATGTCTTGCTCTGCCCTCCAATCAATCTAATTCTTTTTATAGTCCAGGTGCTCCCAATAAACAAAACACACACACACACACACACAAAAAAAAAAGAGGGAAAAGTTTATACTTACTAGAAAGAACCGTTGTGAGGAAAATGTAGTCTGAAAAGGATATGAGTCCACATTCTCCAAGGGTGTAAAATATACTGCCTTCATCAGCAAACTTTTCTCGTTCTTGGGCAATTTTCTATTAAATATATGGGTCCCAGCGAAAGATAAAAAGAAGATACAGTAGAATGAGAATATAGTTAAAGATGAATCATCATTTATCTGACAGTTTTATGGTATTTATCATAAGCATATTTCTGATAGCCATTCCAAATTAATGGATCCTTTACAGTTTCAAGATGATGAAAATTATAAGACAAAAGATAATTTTGTTTCAATACTGGCTCAATATAGACAATGCAAAATAATTTCAATTTTATGACCTCTTGACATTTAGCATATACAGACCCAGTTCAAGGCTAATTTTGTTTCTTAGTTTTAAAAACAATCCATCTTCTTCTATAGAAGTATAAGGAAAAAAAAATCAAAACAAAAAACTAAAGTGAAGTCAGTTTCAATTTACTAAGAAACTATATTATCAGTGATTAAAAATGAAGAGGTAAGCAACCAAGCCTGACATAAATGTTCAGAAAATTAATTTCTGAATACTAATTTTAATTTTTCCTTATGACCCCCAAGAATCTTAGTTTCGGAATGTAGATGAGCTTGCAGAGTAAACAGCATCTCTAAAATACATACACGCCAAGCTTTATACATCAGTTTATTTCATTATATTTATTGTTACCTTGGTAGAAGCTGTTAATTTCATCTATTTGATGAAACTCTTCTAAAACGCAGCTATTACTCAAAAAGAGTTAATTACCAGCTTTACTAATTGTCTGTCTGGCAAGTGGTCTCTTCCTGAATGCTTAAACAAACCTACTCTGTTTTCTGAATTCCTAGCTGAATTATAAACTTAGTGGTAACATTGGAGATATTTTCAAAAACTGAAAAGGATCCAATAAAGTGTTAAGACTTGAAACTCATTTCCATAAGTTCTGGGCCAACCAAATATTTAAGGAATTATTCTGGTGCCAAAAAAAAAAAAAAAAAAAAAAAAAAAGTAACACGAGGTTTTAAGAACCCAAAGCAACAAAGTACCATCAAAGCAATAATGTCATGCAAGAGCAAAATGTTAAGCAGCATTGCAAACATAACCTTGGGAGAAATATCATGAAAACTAAACCAACAAGCACCACCACACCAGCAACCAGTTACACACTATCCGATAGGTTACCTCTGTCTAGTGAAGATCCCATCATATACCACAAAGGAAAGAAAACTAGTTAACCAATTGAAAACACAAGTACCAAGTGAATTGCCATGATCTTCTTAGTAAACCCATTGATAGCCTTTACTGAGTATTTGTTTGTTGATATGAAACAGTAACCACAGAAAAGTTAAAATCCATAGTTGAATGTCAACAAAGCAGTATCAGGTTTTGATCGCAGATCCCACTTAGGAAAGGGCTTCTCTGACTCATCTGTGATGGACAGAAAGTATGGTCCTGCCTAACAGCATTTAGAGATAATTTCTTTGAGCCAACAACAAAAATGAGCTATATCTCATACCACACTGGACCTTCTACCAAGAGATTAAACACAAATTACAGTAAAAATAAATACTACTGGATGAAAATAGGACCAGCAAAGCCTTTCACCAGGAAGGTAACATTTTAATTTCTCAAAATAAAGGAAGTAATTTTTTTTTACAATATTCAAGATACTGCAAAAACAAAGCATATGAATAAGAAAAAATATATATAATGAGAATCGTATTCCAAAGTTATACAATTACTAGGCAGAACAATAAATGTGTACAGAAGCTGAGTACTTCATATTATGTAATAATCTTATGGAGAGAGTACTATGATCAAATAAAAATAAATAACATATTGTGATCCAGAAGTTGAGAAACAAAGACAAAAATCAAAGGGTAGATGCAGCTAAGTCACAGAAGCATATCTAACATTATTTTTCTAAAAATCATCTAGACAATGCTGCTACTTAGAAGATACAGAAAGACAAATCTAGTTTTGTTAGTAACTTTCAATTTTGATACAATTTCAACTCAGAAAAGTGGAGACACATATAGGAACTCGATGTCCTTTTTACTCAGATTCACCTATAGCTTACACATTACCCTATTTGTTCTATCATTTCATAGACATATATTTTCTTTTGCACTATTTTGAAAGTTGATGTTATATTACATTTAACACTTAAATACTTCAGTATATATTTCCAACAAAGACATTCTCTTATATACCACAGTATAAATTTAATAAAATTAGGATACTTAATATATTACTATTACTTAATCCATGCTCTACTTTCAAATTTAGTCAACTCTCCCAATTAATTTCCTTTATAGCTATTTCCCTCAGTCCAGGATATAATACACTATTATGAATGGTAATGTCTTTAGTTGTCATGTCTTTTTAATATCATTAATCCAGAACAACTTTCATTTCCTTTCTTTTTCCCTTTGGAGGCTTTTTTATTGTGATAAAATTCACTATTTTAACCACATAAGATGGTGTGGCTTCTTTCAAATAACATGTTTTCTAGATTTATCCATGTTGTAGCATCAATCAGTACTTTTTTTTATTGCCAAATAGTATTCCATTTTATATATATACCAAGTTTGTTTATCCGTTCATCCAATGAAGGATATTTGGGTTGTTTTCACCTAGGACTATAATGCATGTTGTACAAATATGTTTGACTATCTGCTTTCAATTATTTGGTGTATATGCCTTAGAAATGAATCTTGCACTCTCAGACAGGCTAAATGACTAAAGTCCTAGCTAACATTTCACTGCAACCTCATAAAAAAACCTGAGCCAGAACCATCAAGCCAAACTCCTTATTCACAAAAAGCACAAGAAACAAGTAATGATTATTGTTGTCTGAAGCCACTAAACTTCGGATTTTCTTTTAGAAGATTTAAAGTTATAGATTTTACATTTAGGCCTGTAATCCATTTCAAGTTAATTTTGTGTATAGTGACATAGAGGAAAGGTTTATTTTTTTAAAATATGGACATACAGTTGTTTCTAACCCATTTACTAAGAATCAATTGACCGGATAAGTATGGATCTACTCTTCTATGATGTTCTCTGATTTGAGTGACCCATTTTCTTTGGAAGGTCTTTTGATTATTAGCAAAGTATATGGTTCTTTTTCAAAGTATAAATAAACATGGAATTACATAAATGATTTTTAAAAGGCAGCTTGAGAGACTTTGCATGAGATCCACTTGGGGTCATGATTTAGGCCTAGTCATCCTTTCCACTAGGACCATTATAAAGTTTGCAGAGATGATAAAGATGTCATGGAACAGACCTTCAATTGTATGTTGAGAACTGCTCTAGGAACGTATCTGCAGGGGCTATATTATAATGACACTTTACAATGCTGAATTAATTAGTGTGATATTCCCCAGGAGGTACCCCCTCCTCTACTGCATTAAATGAGATATGTCCATATTTGCAACCCTCAGACCTCTAAAGGATAAGATATTCTGTTTGTGTGGTTACATACGAGAATTCTGCTGTACTAAGAATGATAGGGAGCAAGAGAGACCATGAGAATGCCAAATTGATGCATGTAAGAAAATATTGAAGATAGCTAGAAGGAAAGAAATAGAAGAAAAAAGGACAATAGGAAGCTGAACAAAAAAGGAGAAAGAGCTGTGACCAGAGAGGAATACAAAGTATCAAAGTTAGGAAAAATTGAGGAAAGAGAAAGCACAAATGTTTGAGAGAAAGAACAGATAATGTGTGTGTTCTGCAATAGCTCCTTAAAAATGAGAAAGATGTTAAAATTTTAAAATTTGTCATGCTTTGCGACGTGCCCAGTGAATACAATTTTCTGTCTTTAGAGTAAAGGTGTATATTGTTCTTTCGTGATTTTGGAGTTGGAGTTGGGGTTCTAGGAAAAAGAGAGAAAAGTTACATATACGCTTTCCAAGATATCCACTCGTCAAAGAGGGTTCAAAGAGTGGTTCAGGTATATTTAAATTTATACAGGGGTACCAAAAATAGGTTAATATTAATAAAAATATAATAATAAATAATAAAAAGAATAAACTGATTTATGTACTCACAACTATAAACCTACTTTTGCCAACTTCTGTACATCTAATTTATTAACTCTAAGAATTTATAAGTGAGTTGTTGAGTATCCAAAATTCCAAAGACAATTCTTACAAAATTCATAACATATATTAATTACAAACACCAAAACTGTTTCAAAACCAGTGAATTATATCAATGATATTGGCTGAATAAGAATGATATTAGAGCCCAGCTGGTATGGCTCAGTGGTTGAGTGTCTGGACACATGCCCAGGTTGTGGGCTCAGTCCCTAGTAGGGGACCTGCAGGAGGCAGCTGACCAGTGATTCTCTCTCATCATTGATGTTTGTCTTTCTCTCCCTCTCCCTTTCCCTTCCTTTCTGAAATCAATAAAAAAATAATTTAAAAAACTGTCATAAAACCATAAAATTCAATCCATCAAATTATTTAAAGCTAGGAGGAGAATCAAGTAAATATGTCAAAATTTGGGAGGAAATGGGAGTTACTAGAAAACTAATTTTTAGATTATTTTATGTTTTATAGCTGCTTCTTAAGTGGTCTTTTTAAATCAAAGGCCTGGCTGTACCATAAATTCTACCATTAGATCAACTAGCCATGGCACATAGGGAATCTGAAAATATTGATAGTTGAGTTTGATAGTGAATAAATTTTTTAAAGCTCCAAAGAATGGTAAAAATGGGAAGTCAAGATTCAAGGAAGGAAAAGCAGAGGGAAGGTTTTTGGTTTTTTTACTCCAAAGTCTCATCAATGTTTAATTTTGCAAATTGAGGATGTTAAGTAAAATGTTCCTTCACTTAATTTTTGGATAATGTTTAATCTTTGACTAAATTTTAAGTCATTTCTTCCTAAGTCAATATCATTTATATATTTCAGAGGTGATATGGAGGCACAGTCGAAAGAAAAAAAATGCTCCTTAACAGATTGGTAATAATGTTCATCTTCTCTGTCTCAGAAGTGGTTATTTATATAATTTTGTTATTAATGAACATTTATATTAATATGTATTTTTACTAGGAAAATCTAACATAAGAATTTAAA